TGGGTTTTTTGGATATAATATTCTGAAAATATCAATTAAATCTGACTGTTCTACTGTGTCATTTAGGATCCCTGTAGCCTGATTGATTTCCTGTCTGGAAGATCTGTCCATTTATGTGAGTGGGGTGTTAAAATCTCCTCCTATTATTGTATGAGAATGTCATTTTTAAAACAGAACATTTATACCAGCTCTTCCAGAGAGATGAAAGCATATTTGCTTCCTCAAAATCTGCTTTAAATATTAAAACTTTCCTCTGTTTTATAGAGGCATTTGCCTCACTTTTGCTCCAAGATCAAACCAACACTTCTGTGTTTATCTATCAACAAATATGCCTAATTACACCTCGAAGACAGCATGAAGCGTTTTGTCCTACTTTGAAAGTCAGGGATTTTTTTCTTTAATGTAATGTTTTAGAAATAGCATGTGGGTGATTCACCTCTTGATGGTGTTTTTCTCAGTGAAACATATTGTCACTTTGATATGTTTTCAAATGCACAATGTATCAGTTTGTACGTTGAAAGCCATTTTCTTGTCTTCTGCTTTTCTCCCTCCAGCAGTGGTCCCTTTCTAAAGAAATGGAGTCTCTCTGACCCTGACCATCACTAGACACCTGGGAAGGGGATCTGACCCACAGGGGAGTGATCTTAATCTGCCCTTGGTGCTGCCCTCAGCCCCCTGTCACTCCTCGTTCCTTTGGCCTTTTCCCCACAGTCTTCTCAGGACCTTGAGCCAGCACATCTGCTTCTGCAGACACTGGGTGTCATGTCTGGGTGGGGGCTGTTTCCCGGGGAGCCACACTGTGGCCTGGATTCCGGTGTCACCCCTCAGGCTTCTTACTGTGTCCCTTCTGCCCCCTCAAGCTTCTGCCCTCATTCAGCCAGCACAGGGGTGTGCTCACATGCACACCTGCCACCCTGTCTCCACTCGCCTGCTCTGAGACGCATCTGTTCTGCTGTGAAACCTGAAGCCATCTTGGATTATCCCTCTCTCGTCTGCTGTGTCTGTTAATTTGTCACTTTTGTGATTCCTCCCTATCACCCCAGTCCCTGCACCAGTTAACCTGCCTTTAGTGAGGCTCCCTCTGGCAGCAAAGGAATTGACATTACCTTGTGTCTTTTCCAGACAGGACTCCTCAACTGTCCTGTCGTCCAGGAGGGTGAGGAGATGGTGCATGCTGTCCTGCCCCGCACAGTTAGGTGTGGGGACCACGGGCCAGCAGCAGATGTGTCATGAGGACACTGGTTAGCTCAGCCTTCTCTGAACTCACTGGGGAGAACATCTCTGTTCAGCACTGTCTTGGTCAGTTTGGGTTGCTGTAACAAAATAATAGTATAGACTTGGTGGCATGTAAGTGACAGAAATTTATTTTTCACAGCTCTGGAAGCTACAGTCCATCATCAGGGTGCCAGCATGGTCGGGTTCTGGTGCGAGCCTTCTTCTCGTGGCAGACTGACTGCCGACTTCTCTTTGTGTCTTCACGGGACGGAGAGCAGAGAGAGGAGACCAGCTTTCTCGTGACTCTGAGAAGGGCTCTGATCCCATTTATGGGGGCTCCACCCTTGTGACTTGTCTAGTCCTAATTCCTCCCAAAGGCCCACCTCCTCATACCATCTCATTGGGGGTGGGATTTCCACATGAATTTGGGTCCATGACAAACACTGTTGATACACCTGGGGCGATTGCTCCATGCAGACAGGTTGGCAGGATGCTGCTCTGAGTGGCAGAGGCTCGTCAGAGGGATGTGTGGAGTGTTAGAGCAGAGAACCAACACCAGCATCGTCCACTCAGGCCTCCTGGGCAGCTGAGCAGCTTCCAGAGTGCACAGGCCCCCAGTGGTGCTTCTGCTAGCTGTCCGGGGGATACAGCGGCGTTTGCCATCTGACACCACTGCTCTGCGGTGCTGAGAGCCTCTTGTCTCCTGTGTCAGGCCCCCTTCCCCAGGGTCCTGCAGCTTCTATCCTTCCTGTTGCTCACATCTTCCCGCCTGTAACTGAGGCCTGATTGGTGGGGTCAATCACCCTCGTCCCTGAGGGTCAGGACTCTCTCCTTTGAGCAGACCTTTGAGCGGGCTGGCGCCTGGTAGCAGGCAGCTGCCCCCATCGGACAGCACTCACGCAAGTCAGGGTCAGCTCTGGCAGTGTGGTGGTCCCGCATGGGAGTGCCACGAGCCTGTGCCCCAGCCCCCATGTGACATCCTGCCACGCTGTCCCTCCCCTGCTCAAGACATGTGCAGTGGTTCTGTTGTGTCCTGCCAACCACAGTGCCATTGCCGGGGAGCCTTCTTCCTCCTCACCCGTCACCCCTCCCATCATCACCGCATATCTTTCTCCTGCCTTTCTCACAAGGTCCCGCCAGAGTGGCCCCAGTGCTCTAGGCTGGGCATAGCCTGTGTTGTCCTAACTGTGCACTTTGTCTCTCCCTTGGCACACGTGCCACTCTCCTCCCTGATGCGTGGCATGTGCCTCTATTCTCCTCCTGTCCTGTTTTCTGTGGCATATTTGGGTCCTCATCTTTATACGCCACAGAATGCTCGTGTAGGACGGGTGTTAGGTAGCTGCTCATGAATAAAGGAATGGTGCCTGCACTGTGGCTCTGATCTCTGTTGCTGTGACTCTTGTTTGTTTTTAATGCCAAGAATGGTCGGTAGGTGGTGCCGATGAGCCAGCAAAAGAGGCCTGTTGAGGCAGTTTCCAGGTTCCCAGGCATGCAGAAGAGCTGGGAGTTCACTGAGGACACCTTTCTTTGTTGTCTAGAGTTAGGGGTTCTTAGCTGGGGGGTGGGGTGGGGTGTTGTCCCATGAGCCTCCTAAGGTTGATGCAGAATTTTGTGTCTATGTACATTTTCTCTGGAGAAGGTGTCAGATTCTCAGTGAAGTGCTTGACTCTAAAGGTTAGGAATTATTGGTCTAAAACATGATATCACATTTAACTCTTACATGGCACACCTATCTATATTTTACTTCTGTCTTTTCTTTTTGCCTCTTTTGCTTTGTATTACTCAGAATAGAATTTTTAGGATTGTGCTGACTTGGTAAAACTGTTCAGATTTTTTTTTCTATGATATGCTATGTCTTCATATAATTTTTTGAAATAAAATAGTCAAGTGATTCTCTGAATTCGGAATGACAGTCTTGACTCTAGGGTTTATTCTCTGTCTTGAATATTGATTTGATTAAATGGCTTTAGGTAAGTTGGAACCATTATGCTTGAGATTTCTGTCCTCAGGGAGCCTATATTCTAATGAAGGGAGACAGCCCGTAGTGAATGAACCAACATATAACATGTTAGCTTGTGACCAGTAATCCCTGAGAAAGATAAATAGTCTAGGGGATGGCAGGAGTCCTAGCCTGGAGTCCAGACAGTTGCTAGTTCATGTGCAGAGAGGAGGGGAGGCTCTGGGAGGTGACACTGAGTGAAGGTCTACAGGTGCTGAGGACAGGGCACCGGGCACAGAGCAGCTGTTGCTGAGCTAGGGGTGCTCGCTGGGTTGTCATCCCAGCACCTTGGCCCCAACACCATAGAAGCCCCGGAGTCTAATGAAGTCCTTTCAGCAGAATCCACTTATCGGCTCCTGTGTTCTTTCTCATTCTTGCCTTTGCACATGCTGTTCCCGCTGCACAGAATGCCCTTCCCTGCCCTCTCTTCCCTTGGGATTCTCTTCAGGACCATCAGGACCTGGGCCTGGGTGGTGGTTTTGGTTGAGTCATGGCAGTGTGAGTAAATCTCTCCATCTTTGCCCACACGGCTGTGTGAATCTTCGTGATTCTTGAGGACTTGTTCTGATGACATTTTTGGTTTACTCATCTGAATTCTCCTGTTATATCATGAACACTTGAGTGCTTGTCTTGTTTTTGTCTCATTCTGAGTCTGTGGTGCCTGGTACGTAACGGGTATAAATTCAAGTTGAATGAATGAATGAGGCCACCTGATAAAGCTAATGCGTATGTGATCACTTTTGCTCTCTTATGGCCTGAAACTCAAATCATGGTTCTCAGGATCCTCTGGCTGACTCACCAGTGGAGTACTGATAGTGTCACCCATAAGGAGTAACTGATTGCTTTCTAATCACCTTGAACTGTCTTGAATCCTTTGGCATTACTTAGGACTTCGTGTGCTTTTAAAAATAGTCTTTATGGATGTTTCAGCAGTTCTTGTTCCTTGTGCCTGAAAATCTGAAATAATAAGTATGAAATCCTCTCAAGTACTTTATCATTTTTTTCCTTTTTTTTCCCAAGCTTTGATGTAATTGACTATTTCTTTATGCTTTGGAACAAAATTCTAGATAACCGCTTGTTACAGGCTATTCCCATTCCTGATTTTGGAGAAAGGGGACAAGTTGTTCTCTGTAAAAACCTCTGTAGCCCAAGGACAGTATCTGAAGGATTTCATAAAATTCCAAAGAAAAAGTACACAGGCTCTTGTCTTAGTCTACTCAGGACACTTTCAAACTTGCATGGCCATTCTAAGTCAGGTTTGGGCTTTCTTTAAACATCATCTTAACCAAAGGGTTTATGTGCATGTGATTCCAGAGGGAATACTCATTACTTGTAAAACAAAAAAGCTGGAAAAGAAAAATATACATACAATACACAGAAAATACAAAGCTTAGTTCTTTTCTTTTTTTTTTTTAAAAAAAAGGTCTATTTATCCATCAAAAATATGCTGTCGCTTTAAAGGGTATTTTAATAAATTATTCCAGAGTTGGAGAATCCCGCTCCGCTGGAAGTAAGCGGTGTCCCCGGCCGCTGGGGCCTCTCTCCGTGAGCAAGGCAGCAGCGCTCTGGAATCCACCTCACACAGTCACTTTGTGGGATAGCTTGGAGAACCTTGTGACCTATTTGGCATGTTCCCGAGACAGAATCATATCCAAGCCAGAAATCCTGACTCCAGATGGTTTTTGAATGTGCAAATATGTAAAACTCTAGTGATTCAGGGACCGACGCGTGACAGGGAGGACCTTGGGAAGGACGGTGTGGCTTAGTGCTGCCCTCTTCTCCGCAGGTGACGCGTCCAAGGAGGACATCGACACTGCTATGAAGCTGGGCGCTGGCTACCCCATGGGCCCATTCGAGCTTCTCGATTATGTTGGGCTGGATACTACGAAATTCATCTTGGACGGTAAGGGGTTGGAATTCTCTGTTGTCTGTCTTTAACTGAGTTGAGGTGGTCTCTCTCAATTATGGATTAAATGATAATGCCTATTTAAAACAAATTATTAAGAGTCTTAGTAGACCTTCCAAAGTCTTGCCCCACCAGCTTAAAGAGTCAAGTTAACAAATGACAGAAGGAAAAATGTGGCTGCCTGGTCTCACAAAGCAACTTTTTTTTTTTAAACTTTTCATTTTGAAATAATTATAGATTCACAGGAAGTTTCAAATACAGCATAGACAGGGCCCATGTTCCCCTTTACTTCATTTCCCCCGATGGTTCCTTCTTATATAATGACTGTAGTACAATATCAGGGCCAGGAGATTGACATTGGTACCCAGTCATTCTGTCCCATAGGCTGATTAGTGTAACCACTGCCTTCAAGGTACACAGCCATTTAAAGAGGTACAGTCATTCTACTGTTGTGGTTTTGAAGACAGGGTTAAAACTATTAACCAAAATTGGGGTACTGAAGTTGAATGTAGCTCATACTACCAAGTCTCAACACAGAATACTCATGTACTTGGGAGGAGCGAGGAGGGTTCTAATTGAAGCATGAACTTTTGGATTTCATGAGGATGCGAAATACCAGTAGCAGCAAATTCAGATCTTTAACATGTCTGGAAGTCATCTCACTGTGCCACTAATAGGTCCAGCCTCCAGATTAAGGGGTTCTGTTTGTGTACCTGAATCTTTGGCAGCAGCAGTTTCCATGAAGGGATTGGCTGAACAGGAGAGCCGTGGTAGAGCCAAGCCTTGAGCAGCGTGGCCTGTGGGAGCACACCTACTTCTGGGCTCATGTGCAGCCTTTCTTCTGCCTCTGCCATTTGGGCCAGAGTGGCTCCAGGCCTGTGAGGCTCTCCCACATCAGAGAAAGGACCCTTCTCCCCTGAACTCTGCCTCCAGACTTGTCCTAGGGATGCTGAGATGCAGAATAAACCCAGAACTTCATCCTGAGCCCTCTCCTCTCCTCTCAATAGGGTGGCATGAAATGGATTCCAAGAACCCCTTGTTTCAGCCCAGCCCATCCATGAATAAGCTGGTGGCAGAGAATAAGCTTGGCAAGAAGACTGGAGAAGGATATTACAAATACAAATGATGCTCAGCTTCTCTGGCTCCGGGAAGAAGCCCCCATAAGCATGTACCAGCAGCTCCCCAAGTGCCCACGGGAATGTTCTTTGGTCAGACGTTCCCTCACACAGCACCATCTATTCGATATGCATTTTGATTGTAATCTATCTGAACTAATTATTTACCCTAGTAACAGTAGTAGCTGATTCCTCCATTGAGAACTAATTCCCTTTGTAGTCTATTTCTGTGTATTTTCTGAAAAGCTTTATGTACACCCTCGGTGCCTTGGAGCAAACATTTCTTTCGAACCTGTGTCCATCATTGCCACACGGGAATGTCACGAGTGAGTGACACGTCATGGTGTGTCTGTGAAGGGCTGCGCAGGTAGCACCAGCATCTCGCCTTTTCGAGAACATTTGCCGCCTGCAGTTTCGAGCCTTACCCTACATCCTGAGCACGGCGATGTAAGGTGTCATGTCTTGATTCAACTCATCACCAAAACACTGCTGCTGGGTTGGTGGGGATATCTCCACGTGCTGGGTTTGCCGGAATAAGTTTCATTCACATCTGAAATCGGAATAATTATCGTCTGTCTGTCTGTTTTTTTCCATGAGAAATCATTGCTGCAAATTAATAAAATGTAGTCTTTCAATCTGTAAAAATTTGAATTGAAATAAACATATGTATAATTTTAAATAATCGTTGCTTCAATGGCTGTGAAAGTAAAGGGTGGTCATCGAGGCAGTGCCCCGCCTTTGGCCTGTTGTCATTTTTCCAGCAGTAATGCTGGGGAAGGAGCGGCGGGAGCAGGTGTTCAGGTGCAGCCTGCCTGCAGCTGTCACTCCAGGTTTCTTACCAGTAAAGCAATAATAAGGGCACAGAAGACAGTTTTTAAGGAACATCTGTTTTTTCTTTGCCAACAAAAAGAGTGTAACATAAGCTTCCTTTAATCATTGGCTTGAGAAAGTGTCTTCCAAGATAGAATTTTGAAGCTGGAAAGACATCAGAAACTCTAAGGTCCAGTGGCCTCATTCATAGAGAGCTGAAGGGATATGGCCAAGGTCACCAGAAATTTGGTAGCAGAGAGCCAGGATTCGAACTAGGTTTTGATGATAAAATTAAATACAAAATAGCAAATTTGAAAATCTCAAATCCAAACTTTCAAAGAGGACTGTCCCCAAAGTGGGCATCCTTGTTTGGTGTTCTGGGTCACAGTTCTGATGGTTGAGAGATTTATTTCCCCCTCCCTTTCATGATGAATGAAGGGGAGCTTCTTAATTTTTTTTTTTTTACTTGAATCTAACTATAGCATCATGGGAAAATACACACATACATTTCTACTGCATATAGGACCTGGGTTAGGAAACTTCTAGGTTATTCTTATAAAACATTTCCTAACGAAAAAAAGGAAGCACCTGTGGCACCACCACCATTTCCATTACCTGCGGCTCCCCTGTGGTCTGACAGCCCCCTGCTCACGCTCAGGCTGGCTCTTGACCTTTGACATGAGCTCTCGGCTTAGCGGGGCTTCCTTTCCTTCTCATTCTCTGACTGGAGTGCCTGCAGGACGTGGGCCCTTGACCTGGAAGTGGCAGGGCTTTTTCTGGACCACTGAATTCCAGGAAAGAGAACTTGGCCTGGGACCGGGGTGTGAGCGTGGGGGTCGCAGCTGTCTTTCTCTGGCTGAGGGTTTCCAGCCTACCAGAAAGTCACCCGGCCTGTGGACATTCTTGTATCGTTTTCAGAAAGCCGCTCCCATGTGCCGTGTTTGGGGCTGGGGAGGAATTTTGACCATCTTCCAAGCTCGGGAGTCAGGAGCAGCTTTCTCAGTCCCGTGCTCAGGTCTCCGCTGTCCACCCAGGGCTCCGTGGGGGGAAGGGTCTCATCAGTCAGGTCCTCTGCTTCCAAATCAGGGCCAGCCAGCTGCTGCTGTTGGCAAACTGAGCCTCAGCAGGATGCCAGGGGGCTTGGGTTGGCCTCCGCTGTGTTTGGCTACGCCTGTTCAGGAGGGACGGTGGGCCTGACTTCACCACGGCTGCCTCTCCTCCCTCCCCAAACTCATCTCCACACAGCAACCATGGATCTTTTACCGCATCTTCAAAGTAACTACTAGGTTTTAGATCAAGAGGATACTTCTCCCCCGCACCCCGTCCCCATCCTACCTTCTTAGTGATATTTTTGTTCCGACAATAGACAATTTGAGATTAAAAAGAAAACTGTACAATTGATGAAATAGCTTGTTGGAAAAGTGAGCCTCTGAGCATAGCCATCACCTGGACTTCAATGACGTTTTGCAAGACGGCCTTCTCTGAAGAATACTTTCAATGCTTCTGAAAGTGTCTTTGTAAAATCAAAACTGTGGCCCTGAATATCCACAAGATGCACCGTTAACAGTTTCTCAGGGGAATATGGTTGGCTAACTTCTCTTGACATCAGTCGTCAGGTATATTTCCAGTGTGGGGACTGAAATAAATGGCTCAGCATGGGGGTGAGCGGCAGAGATCTTGGAACTGAGAAACTGCAGTATAAAATCTGGTGATATAAAATGATTCCCCTCTCGGTTCTGTTCTATAGTAAATTTTCTGACTCTTAACATGTCAGCTTTTAGAAGCTTGTTTGAGACTCAACCACTGATCATTGGAGAGGGTAGAACTAATAACATTACTCACTGCTTCTACAACAGGCACTAATTACGCTTTCTCAGTTCGTAAGTTATACTTTCAACACACTTGAAACAAGCTTTTGTCTTGTCCCACCTTGGTTTAATCCCTTTAACATTTCAACCTAAGTAACCAGTTAAGTCTTAACCAAAAATACAAGGTGTGGCTATAATTTTGTGGGACTAATTTTCCTGTAAACAGGCATTGATGGTACTAGATAGTAATCTAAAAAATGCTTTGAACAATGAAAGCATTGCTGCACTTTCAACCTATTTAGTTGTGTAAATTCTGTTTTCAAAATTGGTCTCAATGTTTCATAATCAGTTTTTATTTCTATGGCAGAACAAATTTTAACTACTGAAAGACAAACATCCTATCATTGACACTACGTCTGTTCAATGTTTTATTTAAAATTAGCTGTAGCTGTTGCAGAATAATTGGGGTAAATGGTTTGTGGGCTTTGGAATTGAACAGACTTGGGTGCTAGTGCTCAGTTCCACTCTCTTGACCTCTGTACCCTAACCTCGGGGGTTACTAGTTTCCTGGGCATACCTGGCAGAATGGGCAGAGAGCTGGAACCTGCTGGCAGGGTTGTTCAGGACCAAATGAGATGATAGGTATCAGGTGTTGAGCTCACTACCTGGCCCAATAGGCTGATTGTGACCACCTCCCTCCTCGTTGCCCCATTTGGAAGGGAGCCACCGTTCGTGAACTCCTCCAGGCTTACAGAGAGCCCGGAACATCATACACCTGGGGAGTGGGCTGACGATTGGGAGCAGGCCCACGAGCCTTGTAAAAGAGTCTTAGAAGTGAAGCTTAGGGCCACCTGGGTGAAAAGAAAAGTGAGGGAGTTGCCTGCTCCACCCACCACGCAGCCGCTCCGGAAGTTCTTCCCCAGCCTTCGGAGGGCGGCTGGTCAGGGCCGAGCAAGAGGGGAGAGCAAGCTGGACGTCGTCCCGGTGAGCCGGAGAGGCGGCGGCAGTCAGGTAAGTTACGGTTTATGTACGGGCGGTAGACTGTGCGTGATTTAAGACCCCAGAAAAAAGCAAGTGCATAGGAGAGGAGTCTCCTAATGCATATGGTGATTCAGGAAACAATGGTGGATGAACATGAGAAAAGGTAAACTTCATCCTATCATAATGTCGTTTGTCAGGGCAGAGGCCTCGTGGTGCGAGAAGCCGCGGCGTCCGACGTGGGTCTCCCAGCCTCATTTCTGCAGATGCACTGTGGGGGTTAGAAAAATGTAGCCTGTTCTCAGGCAAGCAGGTATTAGAAGGGAAAATCCCCTGGAATAAGAACTCTGCCTGCTGCTCCCTCCTCTTGACTACCAGGTTTAGAAAACAGGAAACTGAGAAGCCTCCAAAACCCGGACGGGGGGGTGGGGGGTGTGGGGGTGTGCACGGAGGCACATTTGAACAAAGTGTTCTGCTTGGGGTGGTTTGCAGGACTGAACCCTAGAAGTCTCACTCTGAAACCAGGTGGAGGTTTTGCCGCGTACTTCCGGGAAGGTAGATTTCCCGAGCTTTTTCGCCTCAGTGTTGAAGTCCTAGCGAAAGGCTGAGGGTCCGGAACCGCCCGCCCCTCCACCGCATGGACCCGCAGTGGGACCAGGCAGGCAGGGGCGCCGCCAGCCCTCTGAGTCCGGACGGGTCGCGCGCTGCCCGGGGTGAGAAGCTCTTCAGCTGGCAGATGAAAACGTGGTGCAAGAGGGAGGGAAGTGGAACGAGCCCGCCGCCGCGAGGTCTGCACAGCTGTAGAGGCTTGAGCACATCCACACGCCCTCGTCTGCGAACCAGCCGCGCGTGGAGGTGTTTACAGGGAGACTGCTGCTCACGCCGCACTCGCGCTCGTGGGGTCGGGGTGGGGGGCGGGGGGCGGTCTGGCAATAGCTGGCTCGGCTTTCTTAAGTCAGAGGCCTAGGTGAGGTTGCTAATGCTCGTGCCTTGGTTTTCGCTGTTGTCCTACCTTTCAGCATGTTAGAGGTTGACTTGCGAGGAGAGAGAACAAGTGTACTTTTGTTAAAATCTCAGCTAATCCCAAATGCTGGGGAGGGGGTCATTGGGGCCAGCACTTCTCCTTCACAGGATGCGGCCCCCACACCTGCCCACTGAACCACAGCCTCCCTGGGACTCTGACCTCCAGGGTCTCTGATACCACTTTAAATTTTCCCTTCTTACTGTTGGAGGGGAGAATAGAGACAGTCATCCTAACGTTTCAGAATAAGAATTGTAGTGGCCACAATACTGAGTGTGGCAATCAGGTTGAAAGCTCATGAGAACTGGCCAGTCCGAGAGGGCTGGGTGGATGGGTTGGAGTTCTCTGGGACGGTGGAAAGAGCCCAACTGATTGTAACCTTGGAGTTAGAGCAGGCCCAGCTTGCGCTAGATGCTGGCACTTGGGGAGCAGACGAAATCGTTCAGCAGGTACCCCTAGGCCTTTGTGAGTCTCCCAGCAAGCCCCGCACAGGCCTGGCTTCGTGTGCTGCACGGTGTCCAGAGCCCGGCATGGAGGGCCAGCTCAACTAGAAAACCACGTGCTGCCCTTCTCCAGACAAGCAAGCCTGATAGGACCTGTAACAACAGGCTAGTCTGTGGGGCTTCGTTTTACTTTGGTTGTCTTTACCTTCCTGATGGGAGAACACCTCATTATGGCTTAGACCATAATTCAGTGATTCTAGTGAGTTCAAATTCTGAGACAGTTAAGTTTCGGACAGAGGAGAGAAAATGACTAATGTACTAATTCCACTGTGACTACGAAGAGAAACGGTTGTGTGACTAAGTCTACTTGTAGGAGTGTTCTCATTCCATCTGGCAAATAATACATTTTCCACCAATTTCCTCCATGTATTTAATGTAGATCAAAAATTAACTTAGCTGGTAGCATCTGAAGCTATTATAAATTGAGAAAAATATTTAATAAACACATCAGAGCAGATGACCCCACCCCCTTTCTGTAAGTATTTCCTTGGTCCTTGGGCCAAAACAGTGTTTAGTCCTGGTTACCAACTGCTTCCATGGGCAGAAGAAATGTGCCCATGTGTTCTACGGCTATAGGCTTTACAAAAACAAAGTTTGTTTTTTCTCATTGGGCAAAAAAAAGCCTGTTTAATAACAAATTATAAAACAATTCAAGGGGAAGTTCATTTACTAAGTTATTTTGTATGTGCAAGGCGTCTCTCATTTTCCACTCACTGTACCTTGTTAGAGGTCAGTGAGATCTTCGTTTGGCCCACCAGGAGGCAAAGGGCTGCCCGTGCTGGGAGTGGCTCCAAACCTGGGCTCTCCTTACTGCACGCCTCCTTCCCTTTTAACGTAAGAGCCTGTTTTGTTTGTTTGTTTTTGGCATTCTTTTTATTGAAATATAGTCAGTTACAATGTTGTGTCAATTTCTGGTGTCCAGCGTAATGTTTCAGTCATACATAAACATACACATACTCATTTTGATATAAGAACCTGATTTTTAAAGTTTAAATTACTGTTCAGGGAGAAGGATGCCTGCACATTGTAACAAGTGCAGGTGGTGAACAAGCTTACAAGCAGTAGAAACACTTTCCTAGCGGACAGTTATTTCAGCCCAGTCCATGGGCAGGTGCTCAGTAAACATGTACTGAATGAGCACATTGACCATTTCTGTTAAATGCCAGTTTATTGTGCCCACGATGCTGCTGACAGTGAACCACATGAGCATTATTTCTTCAACAGGGCAAGTGAGTGAACAGCCAGTTTCCACTTGTGTTCGTTTTACTGTAAATTATTCTGTATTACCTAATGTGTATAAAGTCCTAGTTCAGGTTGATTCATGACATTAATGTTGCTTTTAAATAACTGCCCTTGGTACACCTTCCTCTCCTACTGTCCCTCAGAACCACTCCCAGCTGCGGTGTAAGATGGTGTAGGCTTTCCCATCAGAGAGGTGCAGAAGTTTAAAGCAGCAGCTTCCAAAATGGTATCCACTAAATGATGACCAACAAAACCAATCATCTTATTTTTTCCATAATACGTAAGTAAGCAGCATTTAGAATCATGTCCTTCTATCAGTATTAAGATGTTTAACTTCACACTATTCAGTTTCTATTAAAAAGCAGATCCAGTTTTGTGTGTAAATGTATCTCTAGAAATTAGGTTTCACATGGCAGTTTTAAAATTTTCTATGCGTGAAAGGTAACATCCTGGGCAGACATAGTAATTTGTACCGCTACTGTGTCACATGGAATTTAAGTTTCTCTTTTCTGTTGGAACCATGCATTACTCCCTTGTGACTTCTCCCTTTTAAAAGGAAAGCCACGCAGACATCTTACTGCTCAGGGGCCCCTGATCAGAGGTTTCCACACTGTTGCAGCCTTAGAACAAACTGTAGAGGAAAAAATGATTGTACTTGGACAGCTATAGTTGTGAAACTGTTCAAAGCCTCCTTCCAGCTAAACAGGTAGTTGCCAGCAACCCTAGCAACCAGAGTAAAGCCAGGAGAAAAGCACCCCTTCCTAAGACCAGCACACCAGCTGTGACCTCAGAGAAAGGCTGGGCTCCAGCAGGAAGGCTGGCCTGTCCTCTCCTGTTGGCACACAGTCCAGCTCTGAGCTCGTTGCGGGGAAGGACGCCCAATCACTGCAAGATCAAAAGCAGTAGCCAGAGGGAGTCCCTCTGCCTGGTGCCCCAGGAGAACGTCCCTTGGTCTGTATGTACCTCTCAGGGGCTCTGGACTCTCCTTCCCCAGAACTGCTGCCTGAGGAAAGCAGGATTGGGGCAGATGCACCAAGAATGAGCACTGTGCCAGGACATCCAAGTTATCTGGGGAAAGTTATTCTGGAAGAAATGTAGAAAACTAGGAGGGACCAAATTGTGGCAGAGCAGCTGGCTCAGAGGATCCAAACAGCCTGCTGCTTTTGGCATTGTTGATTCACTGTGTGTCATAAAAACACAGCAGAGGAGCAAGCGAGGGGGACTTGAGTGGGCTCTGACCGAGGCCGGAGTCTTACCTCCTATCCCTGCTCTTCACTTGATGGACAGGCTTTTATTACTGATCAGTTTCTAAGATCCAGAAGAGCCAATCAGTGTGTTGCTACAACTCCCCCCACCGCCCCCCAAAAAAGTAACACTTAAATATTTATTTCTGTCACTTCCTACGCCACTTTGTTGGATGTTCTTGTTACTCCTGAAAAGAGTACAGTGGCAGTTTTAGGCAGTTATAACTTGGTTCATATACATTAAGAAAACAGAGATAATTTCAAATGAATATGAAACCTTTATAACAAGTAGGTCCCCTGGACATAATAGACATTTTTCCCTGGTTCAAGTTTAGTCTAAATGAAGAAGAATTGGAGAGGTTCCAGAGGATAGTAATGAAAATGATTAAAGGACCGATGATGAAAGGTTCAAGGAATTGGGATTACTTAGCCTGGAGAGGAGAAATTTGAGGGGTGATTTAATGGCAATCTTCAAGTGCAGTATGTGGAGGGTTATTACAAGTATGGTAGCCAGCTGTTCCCCAGCTGTATTGAAGGTTGGAAAAAGGAAACGGAACTAGAATTTCAGCAAGAGACAAGCTAGACCAGCAGTATGAGTGGTTCTCAAACTAGCTCAATGGATTGTGGAAACTTTGTGGAAGACCATGAAATACTGATGTTTTAAACTTGAAATGCATAGTTTTTGCTAAATCCAATAGCTCTATTTTAGTATAACAAAAGCTTAATTTAAGGGAGAATTATGAAGTACAAACTCAAAACTGGGAAAATGTTGATTCTGGGGAGATGTGTGGGTGTTAAAGTGCAGGGACACCTTGGTTTGGGGAGCCCAGTGGGAGAAGCAGTGAGCTCTGACCAGAGGGCACCCGCACGCCTGCAGAGGTGTGAGGGCGGGTGGCTGGAGCCCGGGAGGCTGTCTGGGTGCTCAGGAAGGAAGAGAATCACTACTGTCTGAGTCCTGGTGACCCTCTTCCTCCCGTTTGCCTGATTTCTATCTCCACCTGTGAGAAGAGGAGACAGGGGTCCAGGTGGTACGAGTACCTCTGAGGACGGCATGGCTAGGAGATGGGGAGGGTGTTGGCTGGCCCCTGGAGACGGCCGCACCCTCTCACATGGACACGCCAGCTCTGCCTGTGGATTGAGTTCACTGTTACCAACTGCAGATTGTCAGGAACTTCACTCTTTAAAAAAAAAAAAAAAAAGACTTTTTTTTTTTTAAATGTTTTATTACAAAGCTTCTTTTAAAAAATGCTCAGCACGTTAACTCAAACTGGAATGACAAACATTAGATGACAGTTTTGGGCAAAGGCTGTGCCTTGCTATTAAAAAAAAAATCAATGCTCATTTTAACAACTGGCATAAAATCCCACTAATTGGCTAATAAAAACAGATACAAATACAGAACATTTAAAGTAATAACAATTCAAGTGCTGGGCTTTTTACAACAAGGGGGTGAGAAGGAAAGAAATGAAAATTCACTGCAAACTGGTCTGTTGAAAGTATCTGTTAAGGTTTATCATTAAAAAAAAAAGATCATAAGAAAAATAAAATGAAAGAGGATTGCCAACTGCTACCCACAGAGTGGACTGGCTGTTGCATTTATGTAGCTCTATTGGACACCTTACAAAGATGGAGAGGCCACTATTTGTTATAGGTCATTCACAGAGAAGCCACTTGGCAGACAAGATATTGCTCAAAAAAAAAAAAAAAGGCTTCTTTTCATTTTTATTTCAAACGTTTCCAGATCTTTGAATTTTACTTAAAAGCTCATAGCTAGCAAAATATACAACAACAAAAAAATTAAAACTAAAAAGTGTAAATTAAAAAAATTCAAGTTTAAAAAAAAGAAGCAAACATACAATTGATCCTTTTGCACTGTTAAATAAAAGCTTTAGGAGAAGAGAAAGAAAAATGAAGACAGAAACAAGGAGGGAACTCTTCCACAAGTTCCCCGCGGGGATGCTGCCGGCTGTGCTGGCTGCCACTCGGTTGCTCGGGGCAGGCAAAGGTAGCCAAGTTACTGTCCTTGCCAGAAGGTTACAGGTATGGATGCAGGATGCTCTGGGAAGTGCACGGCGGAGACGAGGGGAGGAAAGCTGCTCAGCTGACCCTGGGCCTGCTAGCATTCTCATGTGCTTTGTCATTTTTCTTTTAAAAAAAACCTTTTATCCTTTATTGTGGAACTTGGCTCTTGCAGTAGATGAAAGGGAGTTTGTCAGTGATTGTCTTTATGGGTCAGCGTCTCTAGCAGTGACCTCAGGGTGAAGTTGGTGTCATTCCTCCTTTGGGGTCGACTGGGCAAGCCATGGAGACAGTCTGGGTTTTCAACAAGCTTCCATTTCCAGAAGAGGTCCCGGGGTCGCTGCCTTGGCTTTGCACGTTGGGAATGAGCTTCGTTTTCCACCTCAAGAAGGAACAAATGAAATGCTGTTAATGTGAATTTGCCACAAACCTTTACAGATTTTAACCTCTACTGCATACAGCACATGTCTTAAGATCTCTGCATTTAATGAATCCACTTTTTTGATTTGGTGATGGCTAAAACAGACTGCCCCACGGCAGCCCCCAATCCTCAGACTACGTTAGAGAAGACGTGTACTGTTATTGAAATGTTTACTTTGTTTCCAGGTTCATGTGCATGTATGTACAGGGTTACCATGTGAAATACAGCTGATACTCTGGATCATGGTTAAAGAAAAGCATCCGTTTAAGGAACATGAGGAGGGAATGGCCAAACGTGAATTATAATGGTGGGCAATGTCCAGATCAGGGAAAGATCTGTCATTCTGAAGTGTTTGGTCTTTTTAGTCCACTGTGGGGAGCCATTGTGTGAACTTACACGAGACTGAACCGTGCTCAGGCTAGCCGGTGCCCCGCACGCTCCCGCTGCCAGCCCCAGGAGTCAGGGACGCTCTCCGTCCGCTCGTATTCAGTCTGAGGTGCATAAGCCTCTCCAGTTTCACTTCAGACTTCAATTCTCAAGATTTTTTTCCTTCATAACACCTAGGATCTCTAATGTTCACTTTGGAATGTACACTCACCAAGTATTTAAAGGTATTGCTGGTGATAATACGTCCAGAAAGGAGATTCCCTAAATCCCCAAAGCTGTAATAACCTTGAGATTTAAAGAAGTGACTAAAAATAAAACATTGTACAAGATGCGAGAGACAGGAGAGAGCACATCGCAGAGACCAGCTCCTTCTCTACGGAGCGCATCCTCCTGCCCTGCGCCTTGTGCAGCTGCAGGGGAGCTCCGCTCTGCCTGGGGCCCCGGCAGCCTCAGACCAGTCTCAGCTCTTCGTCCTTGTGGTGTCTTTGTTACCAGCAGACGTCTCCTTTACAAAGTTAATTCCAAATAGTAGAGTGTGTTCCTTTATGCTTTTTATTTAAGTATAAGGGAACTCTGAGAAATAAAAGGAAGCTCTGAAATAGTTTAACAATGAAAACTAAACTCTGGATGGTGACTTACAGTCTACAAAGTGCTGTTCAGAGAAGAGCGATCTGTGGCCAGGAGCCATAAGGACGGCTCAGCCGGTGCATCTAAGGGGCAGTGCGCGGTGAGCCCCTCACAGTGAGCCCTGCTACAGGTTAGCATTCTGATTATCACTGCAGCTACTACCCCCAGTGTTGTCCCTCAAAATGACTGCTGACCAGAAGTGTGAAGAAACTGTCTGTTTACCCGGGTGGCTACTGAACAAACAAAACCACCAAAAACAAAACGGGAGAAAATCAGCCAGAGCGTTATCAGCACGACGGTCATCAGTGGCAGTTTCAGCTCCTAGTCACCGCAGTATTGACTTTGCCCCTTTGACAGAAAACACACCAGTGCTGTGGTTTTTAAAATGTAAGCAGAGTATTTCAGATGCTTCACACCGGAGGGTGGAAGAGCTTGGAAGGGCCCTGGCTTTCCAAGGAGGAAGGAGCAGAGCCCAGCTGGTGGGGGTGGGGGGCGCCCGCCTGCTCGCCCGCAGACGCCTCTTCACACCGTGCTTGTGCATCACAGACGGGCAGAGGACTGGTCAGGGTTGCTCTTGCTGGTGAGGACGGGCCCAGCAGCTGGAGACCACTGCTGTGGTTCAGGAGCGACTGGCCGTTAGCAGCCGGGAGTGTCTGCCGGCTCCCGGGCATCAGCTGCCCCTCTGCTGGGCCCGTCCCCACCGCAGCCTCAGGCCCCCTGCGCAGCTCTCCTCGCTCTCCTGCACTTGCTGTTCAAGTCGTCCTTCCTCCTCAGGGCACCCACAGTGCCGCCTCCTCCCTACTTCTCGAGCTGAGCACAACATCACAATGACTAAACCAATCCTGGCTGGCCACAGTGGCCATTTATCACAAGGATGGTATGTGCTTCCATAGAAAGAATTTTGACATTTCCCAGTAAAGCCATTTCTTTCTGTGGTCTCGCGTCTTCCCACCGTTACTTCATTATTTCAGCGTCCCTCTTACAAATCCTCCTGCAATTTGGCTTCAGAGATGCTCCGTACCACTGCCAACCAAATAGCGACTCCACCCCACCTGGGTTACTCTCCTAAGGTCAAACTGGCATTTAAAGAAATCGGCAAAGAACTGTCTCACTATCAAAATGAGGCACCTTGCTTGCACTTGGTTGCTGCTTTAAAATACAGCGTCGTCAGGGCAGACCAGTCTTCCAAATGGGAGAAATGGGGGCCTTCCAATGCAGCTTTACAGATACAAAACAAGTCAAATCAAGATTCTTTTCAAGAAACCACAGGCATGAGGCTCAGGAGACTGGAGACTTCCCACATCTAAGGCTTCACGTGGGGGGCGAGGCCAAGGCTGGGCTGGCCCTGCGAGCCCCAATGCGGCCCAACCCAGCAGTGGAGTCGGTGCAATCAAAGCTGCAATTACTGCTCCCGCTTCAAAGGGGGCCCCGAGTCCCTTCTCACACATGTCAGGCTTGGGCTCCCTCTGCCAGGAGTCACCATGTGGGCCATTTGTTGAGTGTATTTGAAGGAAGCACAAGGCAGTGCCCTACCCCCACCATCCAGCTGAAACCCCTGAAGCTCTCCTGGATCAAACTCCAATCTTGATAAAATATCCCACTAACCAGCTGGAACCAGGAACCCAAAAGGGCGGAGTCACTTATTAAGAGCCCAAGTGGGAAAAGAAAATCTCGAGATTTCAAGAGGGACCTACATCTGGGAGACGAGCAGCACAGACTGAGGCCTTAGAGCTTTTTAGGCCTTGGTTCAGAAGACATGAAGAAGGGGAAAGGGGGAACTCCTTTGCCGTAACTGGAAGCCGAGTGCTGCCCCAGCCCCCTCCCCCACGCTGTCCTCCAGCAGGAGGGTCGAGGAAATCAGCCCACTGGTGAGGCCGAGGTCAAGGCGGAAAAGAGGGGGTGGGCGTGTGACTCAGGACCCACTGGGGCAGCAGGAACTGTGCAGGCCAAGCGGGAGCAGCAGAGCTGCCAAGACCGCCCCCCCACCAACCCGTAGTGTCAGGTCCCATCACTCCTTGTCCAGAGATGGTGAGGAACCCAACAAGGTGGGTAAGAATAAGAGATCCTTCCTCCCTGTCCCAAATATTATGAGCAAGGAGTAGGAACTTTTAAGTGTTTTTAGTTATGACATGAAATTTAAGGAGAGAGTAATTAGTCTGTGACAGACGAACAGAGGGAGAGATTTTCATTCCAAAAATCACCTCACAGCAGCACACCACAAACTTCGTGACAACTGCCTAGGTTTTTCTGCTTCGTCTCGGGGCAAACCGACAGAAGGCTGCGGGGTCAGGGCGGGAACTCTAGCTCAGAGAAGCTCGGGCTCCCTGAGCAGGAAGCGAGCGCAACAGAGCTGCTCTGGCCCCGTCATTTTAGATGGAACCAAGACATTCAGTCGTCGGTAGCTGGTGTGAGGGTCCCCAAGCCCCTGGTTCCATGTAGGTCTGCTGGTCGGGAGGAAGGAAGGACAATGCCTGCTGAGCACGGCTGTGCCGGGCACGCGTACAATGTCCAGCCATCACACCAGCTCCGATGATTCCAGCCCATTTACAGAGAAGGATGGGGCTGTGTGAGGTGAAAAGCCCTGCCTACGGTCACCCAACCTACAGCTGGCAGGATTCACTTTTGAGCCCTAAACCCAAATTCTCTCCAGCAGCCCTTGCAGCTAACCGATCACTCATTCTCTTCTCACCTGCCTTGCTTCCATGCACCCATCTGTCCATCACTAGTCAACAGCATGGTTAGCCCTTGGAGGCGGAGGTGGGCTCCACCTAGACCACTGCCCACCCCAACATACTATGCTCTGTTTGAAAGCAGGATGAGAGAACAAAGGGCATAAGAAATTAACTTTGAAATGCAAATCGCTAAGATTGAAAGTATAACCTACAAGAGCCACCTTCAGCTCCTTGAAAGTAACCTTAGTATCTGAAAAAAAGGAAAAATGGTAATGCGTGGTTAGGAAGGCTGGCGCTGAGTCTTCTTTCTGCAGCTGAGTTTGTCCTTAGTCCCAGCAACCAAGACTAGCCAGTCCCCCAGTCCCCGGGCCACACGTTCCAATGCAGGATTCGCAGAACCTGGAGGAAGGGAGGAGGGTCGGTGCTCTGATGGACGCCTGGGCCTGGGCTTGGATCCGGGTTACACAGGCCGAGGCTCGGTCACTGAGTCTGCAGTTTCTTCCCCTGTGGGCATTCAGAATGGATTAGGAGCAGTGAAAGCAGACCTTGGCGAAGTTGAGATGATGCTGAGGCAGGCCTGTAACTATTACTAAATTGCTCTAGGGGAGTTTCTCCTTCTGATCAGCCCTGTGTGTCTCCCGTGTGAGGATGCACGTCTCACTGGCAGGCCGGGCCTCCCAGTGTGGGTCTCACCCACTGGGTGCTCACCTCCACTGGAGACACTGGGAAGTGCCCTTGAGGAAGGTTCTGAATAAGGGGCCTCAAAATCCACTGTAACTCTGCACACTGAAGTGCTTCAGGAGGACAATCACTGTGGAGACTCATCTACCCAATTCCAAATTCTGTATCCAACTCACTTTTCTCTCTACAAGTTCTCTTACATTGAAGATGCCAACTTCAGCTTCTAAAAGCAAGGCAACAGAATTAGTGCACACCATTTTTTTTTTTGCGAACCAAGGATGTCCAGTGTCATACCTGTGTCTGTGTACAAGTCCATGTGTCTAAGTACAGGTGGCCCAGGGAGGTTACAGTGTGTTGTGGGCTCAGAGCAGGAGCTCTGGGAACAGACAGTCTGCAGCTGGGTTTGAACCCTGACCTCCATCATACTACTTGGGGTATCCCGTGCAAGTTACTTAAACTTACCAAACGTAAGTTGCTACACCTTACAAAGCATGTTGAGGGGCTGAAAGGAGGCAATTCGTGTGACAGACGTGGCGAGTGCCTGGCATCTGACAGGACACAGGGAGTGGAGACTTGAGTCAAAGAGGGACAGAA